TTCAATCGCCAGCCTTCTGGTTAGCAGTCAAGTGCCTTAGGCACTATGCTACCAGAGCTCCTATCTGTGCATACAGCATCCTGCAACTGAGTGTCCTTCTGGAGGTGCAGGGGAATGGTCTTACCCAGATCCATCCCGGTGCTTTCCCTCTGCCTCCACTCCCTTAGATGGTGGGCAAGGATAGTGGCTGGTCAGCCTGAGTCTCTCGATCCCCTAGGGCCTGAGTACAGGATGCAGATATGGCTATCGCTCCACCATCCTACGACCTCCCCAGTCCTTCCTCAGGTTACCCAGCTTTTTCTGGGAACCTTCTAGTCCCTGCCTGTGAACAGGGGCTACCTCACCTGCTTTCCCAGGGCAAGAATAGAAGCACAAGTACAGAAAATAATTTAATAACAATGAATTACATTTTTTTTTTTTTTTTTTACATCCAGCCTCCTGCAAGGAGAACAAAAGAGGACTTGCCCCAAAGAGCATTTAAGGGCAGAGAGTTAAAAGCCATCAATGCCCTTTCTTGATTCTTTTAAAAGCAGCCCCAGCTAACCCCAGATGTGTACATTCTGCTCCAGATTAAACTCACTCTGCCCTCTGAAGGCCCATGCTGCGGACTGAAGAGGGATTCACAGCCCCTCTGGAGAGGTGGAAAGGGGAAGAGGCTTGCCCAGCCCTCCATGAGGGTAGCAGCAGTGTCAGGCCTAGAACCAGGTCTCCCAGATTGAGTGATTCTCCTGCAGGCAAATGGGTCATTTGAGGCCTTCGCCCGGGAAGGCCTCAAATCCAGCACAGGGCTGGGTTTTCAGCAAGTGAGGGCATTCCCAGTGAAGGAGGAGGTGGGAGGGATGAGGACTGAGGGCCTCTCCTCTGGTGCTCCCTGGGCCAAGGCAGGAACAAAGCATGGGCTTCTCAAACCTGCCCTACCCCTACACATTCTTTTCATGCTTTAAGGATTATTTTAAAATACTGAGATGGAGGGCAGGGGTCAGCTCCCAGGAAGACTGGTAAGTTCTGTGGCACTAATGAGACACCATGGGGGTGGGCGGTCCCTGAGGGGTCTGAGTGCCCCATTCCAGTGCAAGGAGGGAGGTGAGCTGGAATAAGGACTATCAGGAAAGACAGAGGTGGGCACAGGTGGATGCTGGCTGCCAACATGAGAGGGTCAGCAGAGAAGTACACTGCAGAAGGTCCTTGCCCTCTTCTCAGAGCAGAAATGCTAGAAACCTTGATGTCTTCTTCCCCCAGAGTGCAGCTCACTTAGAAATTGAGAGTCTCAGGACCCAGCAACCACCCAATAACAACTTTTTAAACTTCCGAGGTGAAGATCACATGAAAGCAAATACTCTTCTCCCAGCAGTCCTGACCCCTCACTCCCAGGGCCAAGGTCCAGTGCTCCCAGCTCGTAAGATGAGCCATTGGACCCTCTGGGGAATAAAGTATATCCCCAAGGAGGCTGGAGACCCTGGGGTGTGGGGGTCTCAGAGCTGTCACCCAGGAAGCCCCTTTCCAGGATGCTCCTCAGGGCTGTAGAGGGTAACAGAATTCTGAGCATTGATTCACAGGCCCCAGCCGGGGGTGGTGTGCCTCTCAATTCCAGGTGGTCCACGGTCTGTCCAATCATCCTTCTGGGGTCACTGCAGGGTGCAAGCTGTGCAGGGGCAAGAGGGTGGATCAGTATCAGGTCTCTGGCAAAAGAGGCAGAACCTAAGGCTAGTCCCCAGCCCCTGCCCCACCTTGGGAGAAGGATCAGACCCGAGGCCATGACTCACAGCTACGAACCGACTCCGACAGCCCCTCTTTGTCCAGGGTCTCTGCTTCCCAGTGAGACTCCCTCATCTGTGGGACATAAGGCAGCAAACAGGGTGAGAGGCACCCAGAAACAGAGACAGGAGTCCACAACAAATTGCCTTTGAGCAACAAAGAGTGTGCAGAACAGAGAGGAATGTAGAGGTCTTTGGATGGAGACTGGAGAGGTAGACACACACAAGGGGGCAATGCACAAGGGCAGGAGCAGAGCACACAAACTCTTGCTCCAGTACAGTCTCTCATGCTCCCACCTTGACCTGCTCCTTCAGGTATTCAGCTCGTGCCATGAGGTTCTGAACCTGCCAAAGAAAGACATGTCCATGGGTGAGGGAACATAGGCCTCCTTCTTAGTCCTGGAGCTCTCCAGAAACCTCTGCCCCTTTAGAACGACTTTCCCTCTGAGTCCTCTACCTGCTCCCTCTTCCAGGAAGCCTTCCTGACTGTACTAGCCCAGCAGACTTTCTGCACTGAATTGGTTCCCAGATCCTGACATTCCTATTGCCCTGATCTGAGCACCCCAGCCCTGACAAAGCACATGGAACTATCCATTTACTAAGTCTGAGAGGTTTGACTCCTAGTCCTGGAATACCCTGAGGAAGTCCACACACCAAGGGGGTCCCCACAGAGAAGCAGAATTAAAGGAAAGAGGAGGACACCCCAACCCCTTCAACCCCAGTGGGCACCTCAGTGTGAAGCAGCTCCCGCCTCCTGCCTGGGGGCTCCGCTGCAAAGAGATAGGTGTGGTTAGGGCGGGGCAGCCAGGGGCTCAGCAAACTGTAGTGCTAGAGGGGCCTCACCTGCCAGCAGCAGTAGCAACTCCCCCAGACTCTGCTGGTACAGGTCCAGGGCATCCTGCTCCCCGCCAGCTTCCTCCTCCTGCAGCCCCAGGGACAGCAAGTAGTTCAGAGTCATGACCTGGATTTCTCCCTGCCCCACCTGGACCTAGGAGATCTGATAGCGTAGTGCCTAAGGCACTTGACTGCTAACCAGAAGGCTGGCAGTTCAAATCTACCAGCCACTCCTTGGAAGGAAGGTGGGGCAATCTACTTCTGTAGTGGCGCTGCCTCAGAAACCCAGGGAGGAGTCACTATGAGTCGAGTTGATAGACTTGAACCTCTCCCACTGAGCATTACCTTGGCCATGGCAGCTGAAGCCACTTCCAGAGCAGCCAGGAGGCGTGGCTTGTCCCGGGCCATCTCTGGAACAAGGATGCAAAGGCTCAGGGTGAGAAGAATAGTCTGTCTCCTCATTTTTGGACTCTCCCCCTTAGACTAGAGAGAGGTTTGGTGGGGGCCTGGTGGGTCAGCCAGGAACCAAGGCCTACCTCTGAGCAAGTCTCGGGCACAGGTTCCCTGTCTCAGCAGGGCCTGATTAGAGGATGAGATGATGACTTTGAGCTCCTCAGCCCGGGACATGTACTGCCCCACCTGCAAGAGAGCGAGGGGCTGAGGAGGGCTGCCCTATGCCTGCTTCCCTCTACAGGCCCCACTTGCCGGCACCCACCTCTACTTCCTCCCTCTGGGTCCTTAAGCACTACTTCAAGCTGTAACCAATGTCAGGGATAAACTAAGGCTGGCCTGGTCCCCTCCCAGCTCTACATTATAGGAGAGAAAGTACAAATTCTGAAAGAGCCATTCCCCAGAGGCCTAGGATTCCTGAGATTTTCCCCCAACTTCACCCCATTTCTTCACGGGGATTCTCTCTCTCACCCACCTTTGCCTTAATTGCTTCTTTCTGTTGGGCATCTACTTCATCTGTAAAAGGTGGGATTTATATGAGGAGTCTGAGTGGGGACCCCAGCCCCACTCCAAACCTTCCAGGACTACCAAAGGCACCAAGTTCAAGTTTATCCCCTGGATGGAAAAGTGCTGGGATCCATCCCTGGCTGACCCCACCCACCCCTGCTGCATGCAGGGCTCCAGGCCTGGCCTGTGACTTACAGTGCAGGGCAGGCACTAAGAAGTCCAGAGCCTTGCAGTAAAGAGATAAGGCAGCTGCCGCATCCCCCTCCTGGTCCTTCTTCACGGCTTGCACCACCAGGGCAGTCTGGGGGACAGGTGAATCAGGAGGCATGTCCGCCGCCCACCCTACCCTGCTATATTCAACAAGAAGAAGTCCCCTGAGCCCACCCTTAGCCTGCTCACCGCTCGTGCCAGACTCTCCCTGCTGGGCATATGCTCCAGGTCTACCCAGGGATGGGCAAAGAAGTCCTGGAAGGAGATGCGGCGGCCAGGGTCCCGCTCCAGGAGCCGCTGCAGCAGGTCCCGGCAATCACGGGAGAGTGGGGGCCGCAGGGGGAGCTGCAGGGCCGGGTAACAGATCACACTGGGCTCTGGCACCTTGGCCCCTGGACTAGGGGCCTGCAGGATACCCCAGGCGTACACCTCTGATGGGTGGAGAATCTGAGACTTGAGAGGATCAATCATGGGGCAAGGTGGTGGAACCAGCAGAGAGCCAGGCCTTCTTCCCTGGGCTCCTCCTATACCTTCACTGCCCTTAGCTGTTGTATAATCTGGGGGCTCCCCAGACTGTGGACCTGGGAAGGTTGCCTGGGTCTGCTGTGCTTTCTCCCCATGGGGCCCTCACAGTTCTCTGTGGGTGAGTCCTGTGCTGGCTGTTGTGGGCTGATCTGGGTTCCTGGGACAGTCAACCTCCAGTGGCCTGGAGCCCACATTCCTGTGACAGGTGGGAGTGAGCTCTCCAACCTCAGGGCCCTGACTTCATCCATCCCCCAACAGTTACCAGGCCCACCTCGATAGCCCGGTTGCTACGGATCTTCTCTTCCAGCTCCGAGAACGACCTGGAGGCAAAGGGGGGCTGCCCAAAAAGGGCTTCTGTGGAAGGAAGGCAGAGGGGAGGTTGGAAGGGGTTAGAGTCAAGGCTGGTCTGGCCCACACTTGGGGAAGGGGCTGGACACCCCTCAGAGCTAAAGGCCCAGGGAGGTAGAGTGACAATTCTCACCAGACCCTTTAGGAATGGCCCATGGAAGCCTTGCCCAAGGACACACAGTACAGACCCTGGGGTGGGGAGCAGGGGACAGAGCTCTTACCATACAGTATGACCCCTACAGACCAGAGGTCCACACGGGCATCGTACTGCCGCTGACACACCATCTCTGGGGCCATGTAGAGGGGGGAGCCTCGGAGCACATGCTTCTCGTCCCATGGGGACATGTGCTGCGCAAAGCCGAAGTCTGCAGGCAAAAGACCAGGCACCAGGGCTCAAATCCCAGCTGCTTCCACTTGTGGCCTTTAAAGCCTCTGCCCTGAGCTCCAGCTGCAGGGCTCCACCCTCTTAAACTCCCAAGATCAATTCTACTTCCCAACCTTTGCTCATGCCATTTCTCTCGTGCTTAGCCTAGAATGCCCTCATCTTCCTCCTGGGTTGTAAATCCTACCCCTTCTGCACAGCCCCCTCAGGCACCCTTTTCCTAGGAAGCCCATCCTTATCACAGCAGCTACAAGGACAAGGCCCTGCTAGAGATTAGAATTCTCCCTCAATACCCCACCAAGTTTAGGTGATGCATGTTCTCTGGATTCTAGCCTTGAGTCAAATCTCAGTAGCCACCACTGCCCTCCCTACCCTCCAACCTCATTCCCTCCTAGCCTGCTATGAATGAATCACAGTCTGAGTTCCAGTCCTGGTAACAGACTGAGCCCTGATCCTAAAATGAGCCTTAACCCTACTCATTACACTACTAGAGTCGAGTGTGGGTGATGCCCTGGATCTCCCAGCCTGCTGTTGTTTGATGACTCAATAGAGGGCTCCATGAAACCAGGGGTGCTGATTAAACCCAGGCAGAGGGAGGTCTCTGCACAGCCCTTCTTCAAACCTTGTCCCTGCTGTTCCAGACGCAGACCTGCCAGTTTGAGGTGGGGCTTTTCCAAGGAGCTCAGCAGAATGTTCTGTGGCTTCAGATCCAGGTGAGAGATGTTCCGTTCATGCAGGAACTGCAGGGCACTAGCTGGGAAGTAGGACCCATGCAGAGAGCCAGGTCAAAGGAGTCTACTTCCCACTTGCCTCTTTCTTCCCCAGGCTTACACCTGCCTATTACAGTTCACACAACCCTGTTTCTGGCTTGGCTGGTCTACTGAATGCTTCACAAACATGCTCTAGGCTCCTGCCACTTCTAAGAGTTTGCTCCCTGCCCCCCTGTCCTCCTTCTTCCTTTCTGCCCTTTTACAAGTCTCCCCACCCCCTAGCAACCCAAAATGCCTCCCTGGATGCCCCAGCACTTTAGGATCTTGCTTTTTTCCTTGGCAAAACACTCGGATCCTTCTCACTGGGCCCTGGAATATTCTACAAGGTCTTTATATTATGTTCTACATTTGGAAGCCTGGACCACCACAGATGGGGGATCCTCCCCCTCAGTTTCCTTCACAGCATCCCTGAGCCAGGGCTGGGCACATGGGAAAGAAAGGTTCTAAATTATCCAAGCTGGGGCAGGAGACAATGCAAAGTATGCCAGGGCTCCAAGCCTGGGGTAGGAGGGGTGGGAGGGTAGAGAACATAGGAAGGCAGGTCAGGCTGAGTTCTGAGGCTTTTTACCTAATTGCTGCATGAAGACACGAGCCACCTTCTCAGGCAGAATCCTGCGGGTATGGATGAAGCGAGAAAGGTCGCCACCTGCGCAAAACTCCATGATGAGGTAGATGTTGTCACCATCCCACTGTGGTTAGAGGTAGAGAGGCAACCTGAAGAGGGTGTCCCTTCTCCAGCCCCTTTGGGGGTGGCTCCACCCCAGGCCCGCACCTGGAAGTCTTTCAGCTGTACGATGTGGGGGTGTCGAATGCCCTTGAGGATCTCAATCTCTGTCAGGAGATTTTCCACGGAGGCCTTGTTCAGACTTTTCTTGGCCACACACTTTATGGCTACCACCTCGCGGGTGTCCTTCTGGCAGGACAGGAGATTGGAAGGCTATGCCTTGAGAGGGCCAGAGCACATGCCTGGCTGGAAGGGCCCTGCTTCCCTCTGCCCCTGCCCACTCACTGGGCCCATCCACTCCAGACCTACATCCCAGTTTTCCCTTAGCCTAATAAGGCAGCCGAATTCTGGAAATCTCGGTCTCCCAACCCTGCCTGGTGTTCTCCAACTCTCTGCACCAAACCTATTTCACTCTATTCCCCACCAAGGCATGAGACTTATCGTTTTCAACAACTGTTCACTCTGCCTCTTATCTGGGTCCAGGCTTCTAGAATCTGTCTTAAACCCCTTCCAGGGCACTCATTATGCTTGTTTTGATTCGTTCTTCAGCCACGGGCACCGAAGCTCGGTCAATGTCTCCTACCCCATAAGGATCTCCACCTGCCTCTCCAGACAAAACAGGGGGTGTGCACGTGTGTTTATTTTCAAGGCCTGAGGGTGGCGGTCAGCTCCAACCTTCTCCATAGAGGGTCAGCCCGAGGCAGGGTAGGCTGCCTGCCCCTAACTGCTCTCATGCCGTCTCTAACCTCCTCCCCTTCCCACTTGGCCCTGGCTGGCCTTATTCAGGGTTTGGTGGACCGGGGGGGATTTCTTAAGGAAGTTCACCTTGTGTCCCCCAATTCCGGCCTCGCACAGGGAGCCAGCCCCTGGCAGGGCCACCCTGGCGACGCCCCGGCCCCGCACTCACCTTGGCGTAGGCCTTGTACACCGTGGCGTATGTTCCACTGCCCAGGCGCTCGGTGAGAATGAAACCATCCAGCCGCGGGGGGCCCCAGCCGGGCCCAGCCATCCCGGCCTCCCCGCGCAGGCCCCCAGGCGCTTCCTGGTTCTCAGCGCTGGGTTCCGGCGCCGCGGGGAGCCGAACTGTGGAGTGCCGAGCCGGACTCCACATTGCCCCTAGCGCCGCCCGCCGGGAGTGCAGCGAGGAGGGCGGGAGGCGGCACTGTGGGCGGGGCTTCGGCTGCTCACAGCTCCCACAACCCCACCCCAATCTGGATCTTCCTGGGCGCCTCTTGGGACTCCAGCCCTCACTAGAAATCACGTGACCAACCCCTTCAGCGACCATTTGAGATACTGAGGCTCTGCGGGCCCATCGGAACTGAGCTGGGTGCAGCAGACCAGGTCACCTGGGGAATCCACCTGGTTACAGCATCCAGTGGAATGGAGGGATTTAAAGAGGTTCACCCCCTTCTCTATCCCCAAGACCTGCAGCTCTGAATGTAGTAGTGGGACAAGAAAAGGCGTTTGGAAGAAGCCAACATGCCATCTCCAGGGGTCCCATCTGCCACTCACTCTTCCAGGATCAATCTTTTGCAGACCAGCCAGGGAGCCAGGTGGTGATGCAGTAACGCCTTGATTTCCCCCTCTGGCCTGTGGCTAGAGCATCTCAGCCCTTACCCATTGGAACCACTTCCATCCTCCCAAGTTCACCAGACATTAAAACAGTCTTGTCTGAAAATGTCATTTTATTTAAGCACAAAAATCGAGATAAAACATATACATTTGTACATGGAGGGAAAAATACCAGAAAGGAGTTTACAAAACCTTGGTCACTGTCATCATTCAGTGGCTGTGGGGCTGAGTGGGCTGGCAGCCTCGAGGTGTGCCCCAGGTCCCAGAGGCAGGAGACTGGCTAACTTTTTGAGAAGCCCCTCAGTCCTCACACTGCAGGTTCTAACCGTGGACTCCTAGGCATGCATCACAGTGACACACCTCCTGGGTTATCCCCAGGACGAGTAAAAGGTGACCTAGATTCTACCGGACATATGTATAGGGAACCCTGGAGGATTAGTCTGGAGCCTTCAGAAGAGTGGCTCCTCAGTCCAGCCTGAAGGGTGCAGTTCTGGGCTAATTGATCCTTTCTCCCCAAGGGTTACACAAGCTGGTTATTGCTCATGGCGGGAGTGAGGTGGAGTCGGGGGTAGAATCTGAGGCTAAGGCAGCTGTCCCTCATGAGGAGAGGAAGTTAAACAAAGTCAAACAAATCACACCAGGACAGTCAAACCCCACCTTCCTGGAAGACTGCCAAAGGCTAGGCATAACAACGTGGAGTCAATGTCCTCTACCCCTCCCCTTCCCACCCCCTAAACTCAACCCCATTGCACATTCAGTAAGTCTGAAGCAGGAAGGGCTCAGGGAGGACCCCAGAGCACAAGGTGTTGCCCACACCAGGTGGGTTCCAGGGGCCTAAAGGGGTATGAAGCTGTAAGAAAAATGAGGCAAGGATGAGGCTGGACAGCCAGGCTAGATGGTCTGGACCACAGACCATTTCAGAGCAACTGGGGGAACAGAGTTGACCACCTGTCTGTCCTAAAGCTCCTCCAAAGTACAGTCCATGAGAGGTTACCCAGACTGGGCAGGAAGGAAGGGTAGGACTGTGGAGGCCACAGGCTGGGTGTATGAAGCCAGGTCCAGGACAGGCCTGCCTGAAAAGGGTGAAGTTGGGTCCCAGGACTGTGAAAGAAATAAGAATCTAGCTGAGGTTAGCCCAGGACAGCCAGTGATCCCGAGTATGTATTTATATATTTATATATATGGGAAGGGGGGCTCTTTTTTTGCTGCTTCCAAAAAGACAACACAACCCTACCAAACCACCACCAGAAAAAAGTTTTTTTTTTCTTTTTCTTTTCTCTTATGTAAAAATAAACTCCTTCCTCCCTCACCTCCCCTCAGGTGGAAGGGAGAGCTGGTTGCTAAAGAAAGAACAGCCATGGCAAAGAACAGCCAGGTCTGTGCTGGGCATAACCACCATATAAGGCACCTATGGAAAGTGCAGCTCAGAAGGCAGGTGAGAGAAAAGGCTGGTGCAGAAAGAAAGGAGAGACCCGGGAGGGCTAATTCCCCTGAAAGGCTCCTTGGGCAGCAGATGAGGCAGCGCTGCGGAAGGTCCTGCTACTGAAGATGCCCTGGGAAAACTCCTCCTGGGCCTGCTGAAAGCTGGCCCCTGTTCGGCGGTACAAGGAGTGCACCTAGGGAAAGAGGCAGGAGTGAGAGGTACCACCAAGAACTGAGCTATTCAAGTTATACTCCCAAAGAGAATACCAGGAAGCCATCCTACCAACCTCCACCCACAGCCTTGGAGGCTGCCGCTGGACACTGGGGACCCAGGAGGCCCAACTGCAGTGGTAAAGAATATCCACATGGTAAAGGCTGCTACTGCTGGCCCACCCTTTTTCCCCAACTCACCCGCTTCAGGAGGAAGAGTGAGAGCACGGTACATAGGGTAAAGAAGCCAGCCACCACCATCATGATGACTGACACAGGCAAAGGGTCTTGCTTCAGTGTAGACAGGGCTGCGATCCAACCACTACAAAGAGAGGAAGAGGCCAGAGGGGGCATAAGTGGGCTCCTCTCCAAGCAGCTGCTACATCCTCAGCATTTCCTGGCAGCTCTGAGCCCTGTGGGCCAGAAGCCCTTGGCCTGTGAGAGGCCAGGCCTATCTGAACATATGGAGCCTCAGAGACAGATTCACATGGGAATCCTGGGGCCATGTGAGGTCTGGGAGGGAAAATGTGGCTGCTGCCTCATAGAGTCAGGAATAGCACTGGAGTGGGCCTTTTCCTGTTGCTTGTTGGGGAGGTCATCAAAGGCCTGCCCAGTCACTTCTCGGGGCCCATCCTCTGGAAAAAAGGACCACTGGCCAACCCACTGCACTTTCCCTGCCCCTTGCTCCTCCCAGAAGGGCCCAGGGACAGCCCCTCTGCCCTCCTCCCTCAGTTCTACCTTCAGTCAATTATGTTACTACCTAAGCCTCAGTATCCTCATCTATAAAAGGGGTAATATCCTCAAATTTCCCAAATTCCAAACTTATCACAATGTGGTAGTTGGGATAAGGACAGACATATAGATCAAGAGAACTGAGTCTCAAAATAAACCATACATCTATGATCAACCAGTTTTTGTCAATGATGCTGAATCCATTCAATGGAGAAAAAATAGTCTCTTCAACAAATGGTGGTGGGACAAATGGATAACCACATAGACAAGAATTAAATTAGACCCTTACCTCACACTACATGCAAAAAAAAAAAAAAAAAAAGTCAAATTAGATAAAAGACCTAAATATAAGAGCTAAAACTATAATCACTTAGAAGAAAACATAAGGGAAAAACCCTTATGACCTTGGATCTGGCAATGGTTTCTTAGGTAAGACATGAAAAGCACAAGCAACAAAAGGAAAAATAAACTGGACTTCATCAAAATTAAAAATTTTGTGTATCAAAGGATACTATCAAAAGAGTGAAAAGACAGCCTACAGAAAGGGAGAAGATATTTGCAAATCATATATCTAATAAGGGGTTAGTATCCAGAATATATCCAACTCGATGGCACATAACAACAACATCCAGAATATATGAAAGATTCTTACAACTCAGTAACATAAAAACAAACAATCCAATTGAAAAATAGGTAAAGGACTTGAATACACACTTCTCCTTAAAAGATATACAATTAGCCAATAAGTATATGAAAAGATGTTCCATATCATTAGTCATTCAGGAAATGCAAATCAAAACCAAAATGAACTATCACCCTCTAGAATGGATATAAACCAAAACCAAACCAAACTCACTGCCGCCGAGTCGGCTCTGACTCATAGCGACCCCTCCTTGGGTTTCCTAGGCAATATCTCTACGGAAGTAGATTGCCCCATCTTCCTTCTGAGAAGTGGCTGGCAGGTTTGAACCACCAGCCTTCTGATTAGCAGTCAAATGCCATAGGCACTATGCCATCAGAGCTCCCAGGATGGATACAGTAAAAGAAAATGGAAAATAAGTGTTGGTGAGGATGTGGAGAAATTGTTCCCCTTATGCCCAATGCTGGTTGCTGTTGTATATGTCATCGAGTCGTACCCGACTCATAATGACCCCTCCTTGGGTTTCCAAGGTGGTATCACTATGTAAGTAGATTGCCCCATCTTCCTTCTGAGGAGTGGCTGGTGGGTTTGAACCACCAGCCTTCTGGTTAGCACTCAAGTACCTTAAGCACTAGCTATGTAAAATAATATAGTCACTGTGGAAAACAGTTTCTCAAAAAGTTAAGCAGAACTGTGTGATCCAGCAATTCCATTCCTAGGTATATACCCAAAAGGATTTTAACAGGTATTCAAACAAAAACTTGTACGTGAAAATTCACATCAGCACTATTCACAATAGTCAAAAGGAAAAAAACAACCAGTGTCCATCTGAATGGATAAATAAAATGTTGTATATTCATACAATGGCATATTAATTGGTCATAAATAGGAATGAAGACTGACAAACGCTACAATACAGATGAACCTTGAAAACATTAAGCTAAGTGAAAAAAGGCAAACATAAAAGACCATATATTATATTTCTATGAAATATCCACAGTAAGCAAATTCATAGAGAAAAGCAGAACAGTGTTTGCCAGGGGCTGTGGGTGGAGAGGAATGGAGAGTGAGTGCTTAATGATTTCTTTTGGGAACAAGATGGAGGTGGTAGCTGCACAAGATTGTCAGTGTCCTAAATGCCACCAAATTGTATGCTTTAATGTGATTAAAATAGTATTTTGTTTTATTAGTAATGTATTTTTTAATAGTAATGTACTTTACTAAGGAGCTCTGGTGGCACAGTACCTAAGGCATTTGACTGCTAACCAGAAGGTTGGCAGTTCAAACCCACAAGCTACTCTACAGAAGGAAGACTAGGCAATCTACTCCCATAAAGATTTACTGCCTCGGAAACCCAATGGGGGTCGCTGAGTCAGAATCGACTTGATGGCAGTGGGTTTGGTTTTTGGTTTAATGTATTTTACTACAATAAAATAAAATAAGAAATAAAATTTATAACAAAAAAAGAGGGGAAATAATATCACCTATCCAATTGGTGAGATGAAAAAAATGATCATGGAAGGCTCCAGAAAGGCATCAGGAGGCTGGAATCCACAATGCTCATCTAGTCTAGCAGTGAGGGGCAGAGCAAGGAATAGAACTCATCTCTGATTCCCAGCCAACGATGCAGACATCAGCAGTTATTAATCACATCTACTAGGATCTCATGAGTAATGAAATGAGGTCATTAGTCAAAGAGAAAGGGCCAGACTAGAAAGAGCAAGAAGAAAAGGAAGAGGTTGGTGAGAGGGCAGCTTGAAGTGTAAGGTGAGTTAGTCCTCTCCCCACTGCTCTGGACTTGCCAGTTCTGGTGGCAGAAAGGGACAAAACAAGGTAGCCCATGAAGCTCAGACTTCCAGACAAATGCTGGCCTGACTTTTCTGCAATGCTCCCTGTGCACTGGGGCAGAAAGGAAAACATTAGCCTTCAGCACTTCCTTTTGAGACTAATTTTCAGCTTAGAACTGCAGTACCCAAGAACCTTACGTGCAAAGAGGGTAACAAGAACCAGACTCTTTGCAGAAGGCTCAGGCTCCATCTCCTGAATCACAGGACCTTTGAAAAAAGTCACAGTGCTTGCCTGGGACCTGTGGAAGTAGCACCAACCTGGAGGGTGTGGCAAGAGAAAAGGAGGGAGTGGCAATCCCGTGGACACAGCGTAAGAGCTCAGGCCAAGTATACTCATGACATTTCAGAGGGCAAGGCAAGACTGGTGAGGAACTCAACACCCTGGCATTTAGCTTGGCCCACGACCAAGCTGGTCCACTGACCCCTCTTTCTGCCATGGTGGGAGGAGGGTCATCTGGGAGCTGGGAAACAGTGTGAGAGAGGCTGAGCCCTGTGTTGAAAGCATAATTCCTTCTGTGCTGCCCCAGGCCTTACCTGTCCCCCAGCCCAGGGATGCCGACCACCTGGATGATATAGATACCTATTTGACAAAGAAATACAAAGAAGAACACGAAGAAGCTGAAAGAGTTATCCGACCTGTGGAGAAAGGAGAAATAAGATGTCATCAGAGGACCTGGGCCACATACCTCTGCATTTTCACTTGGAATGACAGCTATAGAATCTAGGAGGAGCCAGGAGGCAGGATGGGGGAGTTCAGGGAACCAGACACACTGTCTAGGAGGGCAAATACACAGAGATACTCGTCGCCATAGTCAAGAAGGGCTTGCCTTTCACTGCCTTCCAATTTAAGCACTTCCAATCAATGAGCTGATAAAAGTTGCTCTCCCAGAGAACATTTTTAAAAAGCTTAACACTCCATCTCCCAGAGCATTTATTGTATTTCATAATGAGGGAGGAAAGAAAAATAAATCTAAGCCAAAAACATCAATCTCCAATAATAAAACTGTAGGCCTGGGTAAACTAAGCAACACTAGACAGAACCTCTAAAAGGTTGAGCATATCCAACCCTTGAGGCCTAGAACACAACGAGGGCTTAGGTCTGCTGCTGAATGCATGGGACAGTTCTGCCACTGCCCCATCCCCTCTTCCCAGGGCCTGATGGGCTGTCAGGCCTGGAAGCATCAGCTCTGAGGTACAATTCCAAATCCCCTAGGTGTCTGTAAGGTAGATTCATTAATGTGGGGAGGCGGAGGGAGGTGAAGGGAAAAGGCACAAAGTAAGAGTGGACAGAAGTCATGGAGAGCACCCATCTGGCTCTATTGGTGAAGCACATCCTAGAGCCTCAGAAGGGCCCCCACCCTGTCTCAGTAACTGGAATCTCACCCACTGGGCAGACTGGGAGCAGCAGGAAGGCAGGTAAGGCTCCTGATCCCTAGTCCAAGGACAGGCTCCTGATCCCTGTCTGCTCTGGCTATTTGGTGGAAATGGGAAAATGAATTTCTTCACCATTTTATTCTGCTCCAAGACTGGGATGGAGTCCCAGGCTAGGACTGCTATCTGCAGTACCAGTCATACACTCACCCCACCCTAGTCCACTCACCTGAAGGCCTTATAGATGGGCCGGTACCAACAAAGGAAGGCACAGGGGGTGAAGATCAGAAACCACAAGATCGAGAGGCCAAAGTTCACTCCCTTCGAAGCGTCAGCTGTGAACCAGGCCAGGCAGGCAAGCAGGTTCAGAAACAGAGTCACTGAATGCACTGTGCGGGGAAGGAGGGCAGAGAGATGGGCTTGCACCAGGTGGCTGGCTGATGGGCTCCCAAAATGTCAAACCACCTCCTGGGAGAGGAAATGAGGTCCAGCTACAGAAACAGTAGATGGCACTAGGCTGGGTCACCTCCCAAATCTGGTTTTCTGGGATCTCAAAACTCGGGATCAAACTAAGTTCCTAAGAAAGGCCAGAGAGCCCAGCTATTGCAGGGGAAGGGGTAGGGGCAGACTCAGCACTGATCCTTGGGAATGAAGTCTTTCAGCACCTCTTTCCCCAGGCCCTGGGCGGCCCACAACAGAACTATAGGAAGTCTCTTTTGCTCACCCCTAGTAGCCACTCCTCGGAAGGAAGGTTGGGCAATCCTACTTCCGTAGTGATACTGCCTCGGAAACCCAAGGAGGGGTCGCTATGAGTCGGGTTTGACTCGACGGCACATAACAACAACAAGAAGTAGCCTAGGAGGAACTCTGGTAGCATAGTGCCTAAGGCACTTGACTGCTAACCAGAAGGCCAGAGGTTCAAATCCATCAGCCACTCCTCAGAAGGAAGGTTGGGCAATCTACTTCTGTAGTGATACTGCCTCGGCAACCCATGAAGGGGTCGCTATGAGTCGGGTCCGACTTGACAGCACATAACAACAACAGTAGCCTAGGGACCTGTGGGGAAGAGAAGGCTTTCATCTAAGGAGGGCATTTTAGTACAGTGAGCTCCCCAGGAAGCTCATCTGGCTAATCCCACCCTACCTGACCTGTGGTGTGGACTGCTTCTTGAGGGGGGGTTCCCAGATCAGGGAGCAGACTGGGAGGGACAATTATGTGGCTTCTGCCCTTATCTCCCCAACCTGGTCTAGCATTAAGGATGGCTGGAGTCTGCAGAAAGCTGGAAGGAAGCTCCCTATACCAGGGAGTAGCAGCCAGAGGACAAAGAAAGGTCTTGAGTCCCACCCCATTTCACCCTTGGGCTCCAAGAGGCAGGAGCAGGACTTACACATCCAGAGATAGTAGAGCATCTTGCATATCCTCTGGTAGTCGGCAGGGATCTCTGTGGAGAAATCCTGGTAGAAGCAGGGCTTGACAGGGCACCAGGAGGGCAGGGGCGGCCAGTTGTTTTCTCTCACTGTGAGGAGAAAAGAAAGAGGAGACGAGGTGAAGACCCAAACTCAGCAGCAGCACTGAGGAATGCACATACTGGTCCGGTTTAGGGGCCAAACCAAGGATTCCGGAGGAGCTCCGGCAACCAAGGTTCAGGGTCTTCATGGAGCATGCAGTAGGATAGGAGGACAGTAGACCCAAACTCACTGTGAAAGATAAAGGACAAAATGACATATATAATTACTTTTACTAATACTACCCCATAAACATGACAATAGGGGCCATTATCACCAGCAAGGAATTGTGGAAGGAAAAGTGCCTGCATTCCATCAAAGAAGCAAAGAATTTTAGAGCTGGGAAGGAGCTCAGAAATGATCTGTATTCTCCAGGATGCCACTGTAAGTCTCCTGACTTCCAACGGACTCTTGCTCTTCCCCAGGACCGGCACATTCTGAGATGGTCAAGAGCTCAGCAAAATCAGCAAGGCTGCCCCAGGAACAAATCAACTCAGGGTTGGCGCTGGGAGGACCCTCCCTACAGGGCTCAAGATGCTCTTCAGCTCCAGGACACAGACTCCAGGGACCCCAGCAGTGACCTTACCATGTAAGTTGGCCACAGTGTTCTGCAGCTCCCGCTCCTTGCGTTCCAGTTCAGCAGCTTTCCTGTCCAGCTCTTCCTGCTGCCGAAGCAGGCCTGCCTGGGCTGCAGAGGCTATGGCCTGGAGGGAATGAGGGCAGAGAGTATTGCCAGACACAAGAGAGAGGAACAATGTCAGCCTGGGCAGGAAAAGGGGCCTTGCCTGTTGGGTATCAGAGTTCCTGACAGGGAGGGCAAGGTAACCTGTCTCCCACTACCCCCACATCACCTCTAAACCCTCTGAATCACCAGAGCTCTCCTCTTCCCTTCATCCCTGAGTTTGATATAGAATTATCCCAAATAGCTTTCCTTCTCCTCTCCAACAATGGAACCCAGACAATGTGGGTAACAGCAAATGGAAAGGGACTTCCCAAGACTCAAGCCTATAGCCAGAAACTGACACCCGAGCCTCCTTTGAAGAGCCTGGAGGGGTATGAGTGTGAAGGGAGAGCAGTGCAATCCAGTTAACAGTAAGTGGGGAGGGGAAGACACTTAAAGGTGGATGTGTGTACCTGAACCTCAGGGATTTGTATTTCAGCACCCCCTGCCCTACCCCAGTAGCACCTTCTGAGGGCTACCTGACCTGAGGGGATCACCTGAGCTGTGACCACCTTGGCCCTGCTCTGCCTGGATTTCATCCAAACTTCATCTGGTCTCCAGGCTGAGCAGGGCCTCTGGGTGAGGTCCCTAGGGGACTGTAAGCGAGGTTGAGCAGAACCGGTCCCAGGGCCCAGGTGTTCCAGCCCAGGGCCCTGCTCCTGTGCCAAACTGCAGCTGTTTGGACTGAGTGCCTCCTGGAGAATGATCTGGTTATTTTTAGGGCACATGTATCAAACTAGTCATTTTGTAGGTAGGCCAAGTACATGTACATATACACATGTATGTACACACATGCACACACACACACACACACACATACCACCTCTCCAAAAGCAGTTCTCCAAAGAGCTAAGCTTGCCTTTGGGAAGTGAGTTTCAGGCATTAGGGGCAGCAGCAGGCCCAGTGACCACACTGAAGTACATTGAGGGTGTTAGCCCCCTTTTCCCAGGTCTGTGACTTCAGTTGAGTGGCACCTAGGTCCCTACAGCCCACCACCAGCCAGCTGAACAAAAAAGGCTTGCCTCACCTCCACAGGTTTTCGGGCCATTGGAGGGGCAGCACTTTCACCGCAAGCCCAGCCAGACCTTTGCTTGGGAGCAGTCTGGGGCCCGCTAGGGTCCAAGCCCTTGCTTGGGTGGGCTTCAGGTGCCCTGCCCTCCCTCATGATCATCTACACTTTGCCTACCTTTGAAAGCTTTCGCATGTAGCTGTCTCTGAGAATACTATCTCCTCCTAGCAGCATCTGCCTCTCTGAGAGCTCACTCACTGCCAGGAACCTGGTAGGCAGGAACTTGCTGGCCTGTCTAAGCAGGAGCTGCAACACACAACTCCACTGTGGGTCTTGCTCACCAGGACATCAAGGAACATGGGGGTGGGCAGTGAGATGGTGGATGGAGTGGGGGCTTACAACAGACAAGAGTCACAGTATTTGGTAAAGGGACAGAGGAAAAGAAGAAAGAAGCCAGGAAGACATGAAGTAAAGAAGGAAGAGATTCTGGGCCCTGAGTAAGAAGGAGCAAAGGGTTAAGGAGGTTCTGGAGAAGCAACTGCTTTCTGAAGACACCAATGACTGGAGCCTGGTGTAGAGCTTTACTTAGGGTGGTAATGGGTCATTTGGGAGGTGGGGATATCAATTGCATGGGCAGTTCCTCCACTTTGAAGATTAAAGTGACCAGCTCCAAAGAAATTAGGAAGAGGACCCTTGAAGAGGAACCAGAAATTAGGCCCTCTGCCCACCCCCAACCTCAGGGCTCAGCTATTGGTCTGGGAGCTTCCCTCACTGGAGAAGAGAGGCCAAAGGGCTCTTTGCCAACAGTACCTGGGGTGTTGGCTGGGCTGGTTCCACTGAAGGCTGGAGAACTGCTGGCTGTGAAGGCCCAGGGAGCTGTGCAGCTGGAACCGTTGTTGCTGCATTTGTCTACATGGGATAGATCAGAAGAGGGATATGAGTGGGGCAAACGCACAGCAGGGTGAGTGAAGTTCTGGGTCTGATGCCCAGGAGCACATAGGTTGCTGGGCCCCAGCTCCTGCCTGTGCAGAGCACTCCCTCTGGGCCTGCCTTTGCCATGTCTTGTGGCAGCATATAGTGCCATGCCAATCTGATGCCTAACCCAGCATTCTTCAGTCTTGCTGAATCCAGAGTGTTCTCTCCCTTCCTCAGGGCAGACTGCTCTGCTCACAGAGGGACCCAGATCATGGATCCCAGGGGGAAAATCTTCAGAAAGTAACTTCCTACTTCTTACCCCCACTCCTGAGTTTACTTTACAACTGTCCCTTTGAGGGCTGCAGCTGCTTAGAACTGTCTCTATCTCTCCCAAGACTCCTTGCCCCAGAGACCCCAGCACCACCCAGAGGACCAGGGAACTCAGAAAGACAACATGATCACCGACCTCTGAGAAGGGGTTGAATTCAGCCAGGCCACCCTGTGGGGCATTGGTCAACTGGGTCACAGATGGATCCTGAGAAGCCACAGTAAAAAAAAAAGAGATGAGAGGCTTGAGGAAGATGGGGGAAATATCACCATCTCTTGGCCCCTTCTGGAACCAGCAAGCAGTCCCAGTAACACTTGGCTGTAAGGCTGCTGATCGCCCTTTCTAGGGCCCTGACAAGCCTCTCCAGAATGCACCTCTGCCTGGCCCTAGCTACACCATTGCTGCAGTCTCTTCTCCCTTTCTGGAACGGGAGGAGGTTCAGTCCATTTGACTTCTCAGAAGCAACCCAGAGCCAGCTTTGCACTTGGAGGGAGGCCTGGGAATAGATACCAACAAATTCTTGTTTATAGAGCCCAAACTGTTAATAGTATTTACCTCCAAGGAGTGGAGGTGTTTTTTTTTTTTTTGGGGGGGGGGGGGGGGGGGGATAGAGACTTACTTTTCATTTTATAGGTTTTCTGTAAAGCTTTATTTATTTATTACCTGACAGAAAGCACTTGTTCCTCTTATTTTTCAAAGGACAGCTCAAGATTCTATAGCAAATGCCTGCTGTTGGCTGTCTATGCTTTCTTCCTAAAAGCAGGCAATACCTGACCTGCCATGAGTAGAGATGTGAAGGACTTGGATGGAAATCCAGGAAAACGTTTTCAGCTTCTTTTACCCCATGGATTCTTTTTTTTAAAAAAATGCAAAGATATTTTCAGAACAAAGCCTTCTCCTAAGTTTTCAATCTTCCCCTCCCACTCTGATCTTTGTTCAAGGGCAGGCTTTGCAGTCAAGGGGCTGCATGGGCCTCGCTGCCATCCTCTTCACCCAAGCAGCCTTCCTGTTGGCCTGGGGCTTGTCTTCACCCTTTCCTGTAACAGGAATGGGGCTCAGGTCCAGCTTGTCAGGGATACCTGGCTTGGGAGAAATAGCCATGAAGGATGGGCAGGCTGCTATTGGACTCTGGAAACCCCTATTACAAGGCCTCAACTAGCCCGAGGGGCCTAGAAGAGTATGTTTCCCTGTTCTCAGGACCTTGTCCCCTCTCACCACTCATCAAGCTGCTCAGGGCCAGCCTCGCTTCCACCAGGAAGCCTCTCCAGACTGAACTCTTAGACACAATGTCAACATTAGATACACCCTTGGAGATCAACACCTTCAACTGACAGACGGGGAAACTGGCACTTGCCTGGGTGAATGAAGTAACTTGTCCAAGGTCCAAAATGGGAGCTCCTTCCTTGTTCTGAACATCTATAGAGCTGAGGGTCAGCACTGAATATGTTCTCTGACTTTTTCCACACACACTAACTCTATCTTCTCACCTGAGCCCCAGTTCCAGAGGGCAGCCCTCCTCAGAGCCTAACCCAGAGCTGGGCACATACTCCAACCTCACTAACTATTTCTGGATGGGAGTGGGGCGTAATCCTTTGCAGCTCTCACTCCCCACCAACCTCCTCTGCCAAAGACACTACAGGCATGGCCTTTCTGTCAGCCAACACTCCCTGCACTGGTGGATCCTGCAACTTGGACAGAGTGACAAAGTGAGGATGGGGAGTCCACCTGGAGCTGGAGGGACTGGCGTTGAGGTTATTTGTTGGCTGAACAACTGAGTTTTCTCCCAGAATTATGGGGCTGCCCTCCTTGCAAGAACATTGGGCTTGGTATCTATTCCCCTCCAAACTCTGCAGACATCAAGCCACAGGTGAGTGAGTAAGCTTATGTCACTGAAATTAAATCTACCATCCTTGGAACTGGTTATTCGAGTCTGACTCACTACAGGAGGGGAAGCAGACAGAGGGGCAGCTCTGGTAGCAGTTTCAGGTACTGGAATACACACACTTGCCCAAGGTGCACACATTTAATAAGCATCCTCCAGACCCATAAAGAGATATTAGTCAGAAGGGAATTCTGGGGGTGGGGTAGGGAATAGACTACCCTTTTCACACTGATCTCTCCTCCTTTTTCTAAAATCTTAAAGATTTGGCCCCTGGACCCCTCATCGGGCTCACCATGAACAAATTCTATCTCCACTAGAAAGAGAAAGCTGTGAACAGTTTGCAGCCCGATGCATTGGTGCCTGATTCATTCTTGTAGCTTCCTGGTGCTTAGCAAAGGGCCTGATGTATAGCATAGCTCAGCACATGCTTGAGAATAAATGTCTGCTTGCTGTAGGCCCTCCTCTGCTTTCTCTAGGTGGCCCCACCCAAAAGCCAGGGCACAGAGAAAGGGAGGAAGCGGTATCACAGCAGCAGCCCTAGGGCCCAGAAGCACCTTGCTTGGGAACAGGAACCAAGAACAATCCATGGGACATGGGTATTCCCCATCTGAGGCAATATGGACTCTTTTCTAAAAGAGTGGATGGCTTCCAGAGAAGTTGAGGCCTAGTGAGAGAGTAGGGGAAAAGAACTGCATGAAGAACAGGGCTGACATTAAGTGTCTACTATGTGCCAGGTTCACCTCACACTGACATGATAGTAAAAATCCAGACACTCCCAAATTGGTCACTTTGTCAAGCTGCCAGAAAAGAATGTTCTATTAGCCTTTATCAACCTGGTTCCTTAAGAGAATTAATCCAATCCTTGCTGCCCTGAAGCATTCATTGTCTCTAATGAATTAACTTCTCTGTGCATCTAAAATGGTACTAGTTACACTCCATTCTTAAGAGAACTGAAAAACCATCACTCCAGTCAATTTCTGTGTTCTGTGGCTCAGATGAGGAAGCTGGCTGAAAAGGCACACACCTCCTTATCAACCTCACAACCCGTCTGGGAGAGTGGAATATTTCTATTTTGTGGCTGGAAAAAGCCTAAGTTCAGAGAGGAGAATTAGTCTGCCCAAGATCTCGGGGTAGTGGTTGAGCCAGATTATGAATCCAGGTTTATCTGTCTCCAAAGACATGCAATTGTAAATCTAAGAGAGTAAGGCCCAGGTCTCTTTTGGTCACTAGTGCAGCCCCAAAGCCTAGGAAAGTGTCTGGTCAAAGGAAGGCATTCCATAAATATGTGGTTGAATGAATGAACCTGCTCCAAAGAGACATAGACCAGGGGACTGAGAGTAACAAGGATGATGGCTGCTGCTCAATTCTGTATGCTGAGCCTTTAAAGCACTGGTTCTTGGGAACATCCTTGGTAAGACACATGCAGAAAGCCCCTTACAAATAAGGACCACAGTGTCTGGCCTGACTGAGCACCGTTGTTATTTTGGTTACCTCTGTGCTGCTCTAACAAAAATATACCACAAATGGGATGGCTTTAACAAACAGGAGTTTATTCTTACAATTTGGAGGTTTTAAGTCCGAGTTCAAAATGCCAGGCTCTAAGGGCTGAGTGAAAGCCCCTCAGCCTTGGGCTTCAGCTCTGCCTCCTGCTCCCAGCCCACTGGAGCTAGAGGCTTTTCTTCACTCAGCTGCTGGCTGCTGAGGCTGACAAACCCAAGGTCGACAAATAACAAGGCACAGTTCCGATATAACCAAACCACACAGCAGGTCATGTCAAGTCCATTAAAAGTCCCAAGATTGGCAGAGCATGGCAGGCTACTGAATGATGACTCAGCTACATGCAGGGTTCAAGTGTGCCATAAGCTAGAGACTGTTTCCAAAGCTGCTTCTTATATACAGGGAAGCAGACCACATCCCTAAAGCAGTTACTCAGCTGCTTGTGGTACATCCCACCATGGAGCTGACTACATGTCTCATCATGCAGCATAACTACCACCAGCTGCCCAGCCACTCAACCAGGCCCAGCCAAGTTGACACACAACCTTAACTACCACAACTGCCTTTTACTCTGGGTGACAACCAGGAAGTCAAAAGCATCAAGCTTTCTTCTCACTCACTGAGCATCAACGTGCTCTTAAATGGGTCAAGTAGTTGTTTAAAACGATGGCAAGAGCTAAGTTTCACCTACAAAGGAGAAGTAACCTAAAACTCCCTCAGTGTCCGAAAACTCAGATAGGCTTATGCCCTTTATTGGACTTATAACAAATAAAAAGCTCTTAAACTCCATTCTTTTATTCAGCAACAGTTACAAGCACTTGTGGAGCATGCACCAAGATAAATAAGGCACAGCTCTTGACCTCCAGAGTCATAATCTGATAAGTATGCTGGGGACCACAAGTGACGTATACACTGCTAGAATCCTAAGCTGGGTGATGGCAGGAGGAGGAGGCAAGACGCTGAGGAGGACTGCGAAGAAGACGGAGAAGGTGAGCATGGGCCCATTACTTGGCTTTGGGCCAAGGCCCATTTCCATCTAGCTGGGTGTGAGGTAACAGAGAAGGTAGTGCAGAGTTAAGCTGGAGCTCTTCCCTGAAGGGCCCTGTTTTTTTTTTTTTAAATTGTAATTTGGATGAAAGTTTAAGGAGCAAATTCACTTTCCATACAGCAGTTCACATATACTTTGTCTCATTACGTTGACTACAATTTACCCTAATGCAACAGCTCCCCTCCCACTTCCTCCCAATAGTTACCTCTTCCCTGTGTCCATCCCTCCATGCACTCCTGCCCCCTGAACTGTCTCCCTGTGCATAAACAGCCCCTCTTTCTCCCATGATTGTTCTCTTCAAGGAATGTATCTACCTCAGGTACATGTTCAACTCATATACCTGTCTTCTGTTTGGCTGGAAACCACAGGTGTGGGTTCAATTCCAGACCTGAAGGGCAGCTAGGGACCATAGTCTCAGTGGTTCCACCAGGCTCTATCAGACCAGCAAACCTGGTCCTGAAGGGCCCTGTTTTTAAGAGGTTTAGAAATCTCTTCCGATGTGTTTCACAGGCCCTGGCTGTGCTTGAGCTCTGTGACTTTTCCTTGCTTTCCCCATCTTGCACTCAACCCAAGCTCTCAGCATGGGGTTACTTCAGTCCCCAAACACTTTTAAAAAATACCTCCTAAGAAAAACTCAGGGTCATTCTCTCTGGGACGTAGAGGGTCACCAATATTTTGGAAGCTCTGAGATGTCCTATTTGCTTTGGAAATGAGGCTGTGTATTACAGAACAAGAAAGGGCAATCATCCCCAGTGTGGTGGGCTGGGTCTGGGTCACACA